TACACAAAAACACAATAGACATACCTTCAGACAAATAGAACTGTATGTTTAGAACAAATCAGTTGTCCATTGTAAATCTCACAGGCAAATGTTTTTTATGTTTTTGCTCAAATCCAACAAGCTTGGGCAATAATGTTTTTACAGGAATCATGGCCGAGGGAGATTCTAGAAATTAACAGGCCTTAAAGTGTCCTTGATTATCAATTTTTATACGCCCACATTCTACTGTGGATGTATATTGTAGTCGGTCTGTTGATCCAATATTAGGTGGATGGAAATGTATATTGTTGTCACCACTGTATGCCTGTTCGTCTGTTTTATGTTCATTTTTGGAGATATTGCCTTTGACAACTTGGTATATTTATTGATTTTTAGTTAGGTAATAATTGTTATTGCCCTTGACTTTGTAAAAATCCTTCAAATTTGGATTTTTAGCATGACAGAGGATACAGAAACTACGTTACAAGTGGCTTGTGTAGAAATAGTTTTTGTCAGAATTATATAAATTAGGTTCATATTCTTGGACATAATGTGACACAGATTTGCCAGAGTTAGAGTCCTAGATACATTGAAAATTTATTGGGTAATTGAGCGTAGCTTGTGCTTGTGTAACGGCTTGTTCAAATATGATATTAATAATCAGTTTTTCAAATATTACATTTAAAATCAGTTTTATTATTTCATGATTCTGTTGTTAATTAGCAAACGTTTTTATACAAAATTTAAAATTATTGCAGCGCTTAATTTTATACATAATATTTTCAATTGTCAACAATTAGTCTGTGACATGCTTGCAATAATTTATTTTTTTGTTTTGTAGTGTTTGTGGTTACAATCAACGACTTTTTTAACGCAAAAAATCAGAAATATATGATAGTATGACTCTCTTTCTCAATAACAAATTACGTAACATTTCAACACATAATTTGTCATCATCATATCAGATGAAAAAGGGGGATGATTATAGCCAGAGAGGTACTAGACAGAGTTGGAGATGCCAATTCAATTGGAAAATTCATAAAACTAAGTATTTATTGAAAAACGCTTAATCTTGATATTAAGCGTTTTTCTATAGTTAATTGCATATTTATGGATAATCACTAAGTTGCTTGGATTTATCGGATTATATAAAGATCCTGTTATGTTATTTATGACACCAGGTATATTTACTGGCTCTTATTCGCCAAGTTTAAAATTCGTAAATTTTATGTTAATTCTAAGACGTATTACTTTAATATAGCTATATTTTTAGATGTTGTGTCGAGAGTCACGATTTAATTCTGGAGTTGATATTGAGTTCTTCCTTGTGAATTTTGAGTAAATTTCTGCAAGAATGGATTGTTTGTCCCAGAAAATATGGTGAGAATGGAATTTAATTATGCTCTGACAGGGCATCTAATCAAATTCCCTATAGAGTCAGGTATAGAATCTTCTTTTCTGGTCGATGCTGCATTTTCTTTTGTATGGCTAAAGATAGAGCGGGAAGTTTCTCCAATTGTGGTGAGATAATTATTGTTGAATTGGTCTGAAAAGATTGCTTCAGATGATGAATTTCACTTGTACAATGTGATGCATGAAGAAAGGAAGTAGAAAAGACAAAAACTGTATAAAATATATGAGCAAGACAATGCTGTTAATCAAAATCTCATCCAAAGTGTACAAAAAAGTTATATAATAGTGCCATTGGTTGTGTTTCGAATAAAGTAAGCATGGTCTGTTTCACACCTGCCAGTACTATTTAGGTAGTAAACCTGTGTTTTTTAAAACTCTTGTTAATGTGAAGCAGCCACATACTTCCTTCCTCAGACAAAATATTAGAGGTTATTTAGCTAATTTTTCTATTGTGGCATATGTACATTTGAAATAAAACATGAAGTTTGTCGCTTTGTCACATGAAATTTTCAAATGAGGGTGGAAAAATGTTGAATTGAACAAGATTTTGGAACATTGTTGTTATAAGATGAATGAGGGAAAGAAAAGTTGAATGAGTTTTAAGAACATGGTTGTTATAAGATTAATGAGATTTAGGAACATCGTTATGTTATAAGTTAAATGAATATAAAATAAGGAAACATGGTTGTTGTAAGTTAAATGTATATTGAATGAGGAAACATGGTTGTTCAACAATGTTTTTTTATATTATTTCAGACTTTTATAGGGTATTCAAAATCTATCAAGTAAATCGGGTATACTTCTACCATGATTTAGGAGAATAGTTGTTATGATATGATAATACAAAAATATTGCTAAATATTGTGATATTCACACATCCCTGTGACACAAAGTCCTAACCAGTAGGGCATCTTAACCTTCCATATTACCCACTTATATACCTGTAGGCTGTTTATTTTATTTTTGTTTTATTGTAATATATTGTCAAATTTTTTATTAAGAGGGAATTAATTCAACACTGCTTTATCTAATTTTGGGAATGTTACAATAAGGATGGTGTATTGTTTATAAAATGTAAGTAATGAATATTACCTTTAGGACAGGCTTTTAGTAGACAGTTACTTAGATTACAATGTAGACTAAAATTATCAGAATATATACAAAAAGATAAAAAATTTCGATCTAATTTTAATTACAATCAAAGTGCGTCTTGATAAAGAATGAATAGTGGGATATCCAAAACTAAAGTAGAGCAATATGCTATCCCACAATTCCTTATTTTATCAAGATTTGGGTTTTACATGACAGGCTTTGATTGGTTTGAAAAACATCATTGTGATGGGCCTTTAGTAGAAAACTATTTAGACTAAAAATATCAGAAAAGAAAAAGGTACAAAATCTAATTTTAATTAGATTGTAGATACCCATACAAGATGTACAATTTAATGCTATGTATGTTTGAGCATAGATAATAAACTAGTAGAATTCAACACATAAAAACAACTGGTCCACTTGGGTCTAGTTGTTGGATGGAACAATAAACCAATGCCCTGTGTGCTACAGGCTGTGCACGTTAGAGATCCCTCGATAGTTGGAAATCGAAAAAGAGCAGGCTAATGCTGCTGTCTTGGCAACATTTTCCTCACTCACGCTGCATGACGTTGTCCGTCTTCATTAGTCCACATGGTAGAGAAAAGTATGACATTAAACTCCATTTCATTTCATTTTGATGTTTGGGTAGAATAAAAAGTTATAGTAATAATGCAGACCAGGCCACAAATTTTTCAAACAATAATGATCCTGACGTCCTGGATTCTTTAACTTCTAACACTTATCTCGGATGTCCTAGCACTAAGCTTGTTTCGAGATTACCTAGCTAGGGCTATATTGTTTAACTACCTCAAAATTTAGTGGACTGTTCTGAATTGTCCTTGGATGTACTTAAATGTCTTTGCTAGAATTTACTTAAATATATCAAATTGATGTCACTCTTCTAATATCCATGTCCAAAATATTGGGTTTCATTTATTATTATACATATTAAGCTTAGGAGACAAACTGGTTCTTTTAGCAAACTTAATACCACTTTGAAACTTGATTTAGCAACTGTAAATGTTGCACTACGATATATATTTTCATTTGAATGCACTATAAAAGCAAATTGTACTAAACATTCACCTTGTTTTTACAAATGAGTTTAAGAAAGTGAACAAGAATGATAATAATTTTGAAAAGATGACATGTTTATGTATTATTTTGAAGTGAGGAAGTTTAAGTGCTTAAATGTCCTACTATCAACAAAAATGATAAGATAAGACCCTTAACATATGACATATATATTACATGTACGATGTTCATAATTTACCAATGGCAATATAGGAGAACAATTTTTCTTAAGTCTTCATTCAAATCAAGGTAAGGCCTGGTTTATCTTTGTATATTATAATATAGTTAGAGTATAAAAAATATCATATACCGGTAGATTGCAATTTAATCTATATTATTTGACCTGAAAGTGATTGTGAAGTGCTTTTCTGATATTTAATGTTTAATTTTTCATTTTGTGAAGTCATTTACAAAGGAATTGGAAATGAATTGGTCACTTTAAAGTCATGAGTATAATATACCTTGTGCACCAGATTGGGTTCTTTTAATATTTACAAACGAAAAAGAGTAAAAAAATTGATTCAGACTTGGCATGACAGACAGATTGGGTCAGATATGGCCATTTCTACTCGCAGTGTAATGGTAAAGTGTATACCAGGCCCAGATTACCAAGTCTTCTGCAGATTGTGCAGGATCCACCTTTGTAGCTCTTTTTTGTTAGAGAGCTTATAATTATTTCCATTTAAAGCACTTGATACGACAGTGTATTTTTTTATCAGGTCCCAAACGTAGAAGGATATTTGAATATGATCAATCTGATGATTGTCTTTCTGGTGCAAAAATCAGGGCAGTATGTATAGGAATAAGAAGTCTCATATAGGCTAGATTGGTGCTGTATTGGCCCTGACCATATCTACCAGTAAATAAATATATATCTGAATTGACAATTCACAATATGACTACTAGATGATATACATTGCTACTACCCCAATCAATATATAGAGAAAAAACCCACAAAACATACACCTGAAGAAATTGCTGATGATAAAACAATCATATACAAATATCAATCTAATGTGATATTTTAAATCCTGTTCGCAACGTGATAATCTTGTCATGGAAGCAAGGGCACATGAGAGAATTAACTTGAGATTGATTCGGCATCAAAATTTTGCAGCCAAGACTGTTCTAGTGCCAACACCATATTTAATGACATTCCCTGTTATGGATAGTTCAGTACAAATGCAGTGTCATTGGCCTCTTTTTGTTTGAAAAAGCCAGTGTTCACTTCAAAAATGTCACTTAGCACTAAATTTGTAACACAACTGCTTCATTTGATGGATGTTGTAATGCATCATGTCATGCCACGATTATTTTATTGTACATCACAGTCTTTTTAATGCACAACACAGCATTTTTCCTCCAATAAAACATTTCACCTGACATGGATTGAAAGTTATATAACTAAAAAAAAATGTATTTTGTCAGTAGGAAAGGTCATAATGGCAGACATTGGAATAGAATTAGGCAACAACCTTAAACAGAAACAAATTTTTATTTGCTGCTCTTTGGAATATTGGTCAAAAGAATACGGTATGAGTGAATTTTTTTTTTTGTTTTTTTTTTTTAGGTTTTTTTTAGACAATTTTCCAAGCATATATATTTCAAAGATGCAATTGTGTTTTTTCTGAAAATTTTTGTCCAAATTTTTGATTTGTTATCTCTTCACTTGAATAAGTAGCTTATATCAATAGTTATTGCTTTAACAATTAGATATCCAGAAAAATAAAAATGACCTTTCAGTGAAAATTGTTTTATTGATATTTAGACAAACTGGTGTTTCCTGTTGTTGTCAAAAACGATATATTTTTAAAATATTTATCATATTGAGACCTATTATCAATATATAGAACTATTTATTGCACGGTGTCAGTCTATTAAAAACATGAACAAACTAATTAAACTATATATAGATTTATTAGATAGGATTATTGTCATTGGAATATCATTATTGTCATAGTCTTGATTATCATATACACAATATACTGTAACAAAACACTTTATTGTAGTCTTTATTAACTTGTTAAGACTGATATAATCTCTGAATAAAAAATGAATAGAAATTGCTAACATTAATTGATCAGCTCTCAACACACAACTATGCCACTAAATTTTTTATTATTTCTAATTTGGAACAAATATTCTTTGGATGTGTGAGTAATAATATCAATAATGATTTTTTGAACATTATAATGTTAATTCGTCAATAACAGCCTTATTTTAATGTTTTCTACTTTTCTTGATACATTTTCCTACCTTGACTGCAATAGCCACCTTTCTTGTATCTCGGAAGTTTGTAAATGCAATTAATTCGTTTGGATTGTATGTTATCAAATACAGCCCTTCAGAGTCCTCATCAGAAAGTCTGTAAACAATAAGTTTACAGTCTATCTGTAGAAGGTTTGATTTAAAATTCTGGTGTCAATAACCCAAACTTCTGGGTGCCAGATGGCCACTTGGCAAAAAAATTAATCGGTAATGAAATGTTGATTATTTCATATTACCTTAACATTTAATGCACGTACAGATATTTTCATTTTTACTGTCTAATACATTCAAAAATGTCACTATTTTTGTCAGTATATTTACTTCAAGCACTGTGTTGTATGTCTGATGCATTTGGATATACACCTGATCACCAGCATCAACATTCTATTGGTGCATAACCTCTAGCCTTCACTCATGCAGTCATTGTTTTTTTATATGCTATGGATTTTGATTTTGTATAGGTCACATTTATATACATGTAAATTATGCTTTTCTAAACTAAAAAAAAGTCAAGAAGTTATTGAACTTCAATAATTGAGTTTAATAAGTTTCACCATCCGTTTGATCAATTGAACCTTAGTCTTTAAATTCATATGCGTTGAGAATTATCTGTGTTTGAAAGTTAAAATGATAACTCGTCTTGAGATTCTGCCATTTCCAGAAAAGACAAACATAAAAATAGGAAGTGAAATTCTTGAAGGAACTATGCGATTTCAAATTAACCATTGCAAACCTGTCCCTTTTAAGTATTTCAGCCAACAGTACTATTATAATGTACTTTTCTCTAAGATTGACAGACATAAACACACTAAAATAGAAAATGATTTATAGATTTAACTCTAGAGTTCAATTTCAGTGTAACTACTTTTACACAATAACCTAAGATATAAGTATTTCGTACCATATAAAGGCTGCAAGGCTGAAATAACAATTATTTTCTAACCAGAGGTTATTGATCTCTGCATTATGAAGAAAAGACTTACATCAATAACTAAAAACTAAAGCAAGTTGAGAGTTATTTTTAGAAACATACCTGCCCATGGCAATATAGATTAAATACCATATCTTTATAATTTATGAAAATGTTAGATAGACTTCATTTTCTAGTTTTGGTATTTTTTTGTTGTTGATAAGACATGATGAAAAGTATATGTAATTGGTGGTTATTGTTATATTACTGCAGAGAATATCCAGCTCTGTTATTGTGTGGGTTCATCAAACAGTCTAGCTCTACTATTGTGATGTTATCTCACAGAAATTTGCTCTGTAATCTTGATGGTGCATTATAGAGTTATACTCAATATAGAGTTATTTGCAGAGTATCAAGCTGTTCCTGTGTGGGTTCATCACAATGTCTAGCTCTACTATTGTGAACTTATTTCATAATTTAGCTGTTATTTAGATGGTGTATTATGGAGTTGTTATTGTGAAATAATGGAAAGAATCTACCGGAAGCTCTTTTAATGTGAGGGTGCATCAAATGATTGTGTAATATTATTTTACAGAATCAAGTTCTGCTGTTATTGTAATATTATCTCACATTGTTTTAAGGAGAAAGATGATTATATGATACTGTTTCTTTCAGACTGTGATGCTGCTGTTGCATTAATTGTATACTTTAGTTTATTCCTGACTCTCATTGTTCAAACCTTATTGTAGTTCATTTATATTGAGCTCCTGAAGATCAATAATAATGGACTATGTTTCATGCCATTAAAAATCAGTTATCTAAAAAAATTATGTACAAAGACTGGCTAAAATGTTTCAGGGCCAATAGTGTGAAAACCCGTACCAAGTCCATGGGATTTCATTTATTTCTCTACTTTGTCAATCAGCTATGTCATGTCGAATACCTAGGTACTGTTTTACAGAATGGTTGCCTTGAGAGCCTTCTTGGACATGGATCATGTCTTTGCCATGCTTGAATTCTATACTCCAGTTCTTTACATTGTTTAAGGAAGGGGCATAACCTAAAGCGTAGACTATGCCAGAAAATATCTTATATATTCACATAATCTAATAAATATCATGTACAATAATTCTTTGCATATAAGAAATATATTCTTTCTCTTTCCAGATTTAGATGAATTACCAGTCATACATCCACCAAAAAGGAGACGTCTTCAAAAGCTCAACATGCAAGAAACTGCCATACGATCAAATTTAGACTCTGATAGAATTAGGTTGGAATTACCACTCCATAATTGGCTTGAACATAAAATCAAGTTGGGCACAGAGTCCACAAAAACCTCTAGTGAAAATGTTCAAGAAGAATCGGGTAATGAAACTACATGTACAAAGAAAAAATCTGAAAAACATTCCAAGAAGGTCAAGCCAGTGTCTCCAGATACTAAACTGAAGGATACCAAAGACCTTAAAGATTCAGAGACAAGTAAATTACTGTGTAAGGAGTCAGATGTTTTGCCAGATAACGCTGCAAATGCAGTGACACCTTCTCACGAAACAAGTTCAACAGAGAAGTCTGATGTTTGGAGAAAGCAACTGGCATTATCAAGATCTAAGTCACAAAGCAAACAAAATGTTTCAAATTGTACAGACAAAGAAAATGATTTTGACAATAAGCAAGAGGTAGAAGATATACAAGAAAATAACGTAGAGGTACAAGAGCTTGTCTTGTCTTCAACTCCTTTAGTAAGTCCAAAGACTTTAAAACCAGCCCAGGATGTTAATACTAACTTTAAGAAAAGTCCTGTTGGTGATGACATTTTACAAAGTGATGACTTGAGTTTACATAATCTGGATAAAGTGGAAAATTCTGCTGATGGACAACTGGTAGCTGATGAAACTCCAACATCCCAAAAGAAATCAGACCAAAATGTACCGGTACCTAGTTTGCAGAATATAGAAGATACAGATATCAAGCAGGGAAATGTCAATTCTGAACTGGAGATGGATAAATCAACAGAAAACGCAATTGAGTAAGTTTTAGTAATGTATGTGGATTTTGGTGTAAAGTCTGATATGAAAAAATATCTGGTTGTTTGTATATATGAAAATAAACCAAGGCCTCTCTGTGCAACTGCAATTTTCCCTCATTTCACATTCAGTAGATTTCATTTGACAATTTAGCTTTCAAATTTATATCACACATGATGCAATAAAACTTATTTTAGTGGGAAGAGGAACAAAGCAAATACATCAGTCTACAAATTTGGCATGTTACAAACACTCACACACTTTTGTGACATAATTTATGTGCCTTGCTGTAACCTTGAATGTACTTGTGAATGGAGTACTAAAGAACTTTCTGATTTGATAATACTCTGTCATTTTGATATAATGATGAAAAGCATGTGTTGATAAGTGACATTATGTAACTTATAGTTTTGTCTGACATTTATAGAGAAGAGAGGAGTAATCCTGATTTTGATAACCATGCACACAATCTCACTACTAATGTCTCCGATGTCAATCAACCATTGGATTTATGTCTGAAAGTTTCTCAAGGTAAATTATTTTTGATTTGTGCAATTTTCCAAACTGTAGTTTTCCAACAAAACAACTGCACTCAACCAGAACTGAAGTAAGGCATAGCAAATCTGAATGGTACTTACATTGCTGTAATTGGCTTCATATTCATTTTATGCATTTTATCACGACATTTGAAAGTAATGATTTCGAAAATCTGAAATAAAATTAATTCTTATTGATGTCACTTAAAGGTTGTTGGCATTGGTAAATATAAAGCAAATATTATTTGAGATTTCATGTTTTCTGTTATTTCTATTTACAGATACTCCAGTTAAACCAGTTTCTCAGAAACCGCAGCCAAAAGTTCAATTGGTTCATCCTCAAGTTATATCATCAACAGCAAAGAAAAAAGAGGAACATACCAACCTTTTGCAAACCACAAAAATGGCTATACAATCCATAACATCCTCAAGAACGCCATTTCAAAATGACCATAATACCTCAGATGAGGCATCAAATGTTATGAATCAGGAAAGCCAGGTCAATGTCAGTCCACAAGTTGAAGTGTGTGATTTTTCAATGAAGACAAAATCTAACATCAATAGCTCCTCTCAAATACATCAGGAAAGTCACCAATCCAACACTATTATATGTTTACCAGCAACTTCAGATCATGAAATGACTCCTGGTGGAAACACACCTCCTGCTTCTAGCAAAAAATTGCCTGACGATCTTGAATTCCAACATCACATAGAAGAATTGAGACATCTTGAACGTCTTGCCAGAAAGAAGGAGCAGGAACATGCTCAAGTACTTGCATTAAGTAGAAAGAAAGTTGAGACTATTATGAAACTAAAATTACAGAAAAAGAGAGCTGCAGCATTGAACTTATCCACTTTGACATTTGATAAAGAACATGAAGTGCAGCTTGATGTGTCTGCTAGTAACTCTAGTCCTGGATCCTCTTCATCAGAATATTTAGCCACAAATGCTGTAACAGGGAAAGAAAACCCCGGTCAAGTGGTTGGTCATTCTTGTGCTGAAGCTGAGAAAGGAGAAAACACTGATACCTCAAATGATTCACATTGCAAAATAAATGTTGGATCAAACGAACACACATCGAAAGATAACAAATCTGAAGACATGAGGACAATGACTGGAAGAATTACTGAAGCTCTACAGCAGGCAGTTCAGAATAAGACAATAAAGAATCCAAATTCTGAAAATGACAAACAAATTACCCCACAGCCAGCACATCAAAGAGTGAAAAGTACACTTCCACATGATGAACCTTGTAAACTTCCCAATGACGCTAGTTCTTTGTGTCCATTTCGACTGCGCTCTGATTCTCTTACAGATCCTTCTATTAATCCAACAAAGAAATCAATGGATAAACCGATACAAGAAGCTCATAATCAACCAGCATTCCAACCAGCAGGAAGTTTGATTGTTCCCAATATACCCATTTCTCAGAAAGAAAGTTTAGGTTATAACTATTCGGGAGTGAATGAAAGTAATAAATCGAGAACATTAGAGTATAAACGTACCCAGTCATACAACAAAGAAGATGAACTAAATAAACAAAAAAATGAAGTGATAGACTTAACTATCGAAACTTCCAGTGTGCTGAATGATCCACCTCCTTTAAAGAGAATAAAAAGGGATGAAATAATGGAGATGCCACCTTTACACAGCAAAGGTCCTTTGATCAACCATAATTTACTGTATGATGAATCTACATCAAGACAAATTTTAAGATCACCCAATCAACGAGTAACAGCAACTAGCAATAGTCAAGAAGTAATCCAACCTGTACCTCGATACCAAATCAAGGCATCTTCATATAGTCATTCCCCTCCAGTTTATCAACAGAACTTGGTTCCATCAACAGCATCGTCAACTCCCCCAGTACAAAATAGACTACATTATGACAGAAGCTCTCCATATTCTAGAGGTGCCTCTCCCCAAGCATTATATCCCATGAGACCAGGCCTGCCTAATCCAATGATGAGGCTTCCAAATGTTCCAACATTTAGTCCTCAAATTCGACCAGAACAACAGATGCAGAAGCAAATACATCATGCACCCTTTCCACCTGTGCCTCAGAATAATCCATATGGACATCTGGAACCTGGTGAAATAATAACCAACAGATTTCCGCGAGGTTGGCATCATCCTAGTCAGATAAACGCAGCACCAAACCAACACATGCCAGAAGTTGCGGAAAGAAGGATGTTCCCAGGACAGCATTCTTTATCACCTCATGTTCTCAAACAAATAATGACTCAACAATTTCTTCAACAGCCCATGCAAAGAATTCCAGCTGAACAGTCTCATCATCCCAGTGGACAATCAGGTCCATATCGAGCACCTATATATAATGCTTCACAAAAGGTGTTTTCTCCTCATGGCATGGCTCAGCCATTGCACGAACCAATGAAAAGATCAAATGACATTCAGGTTGGTTTGGCTTGCTTTTGAAGATTGTGATATAATTTAGCATCTAAAAATATTATAATAGAACTTGAATCATGTTTCATGCTTTGTGAAATATAGATGCTAAATTATATATCTCAATCATGATGGATTAATCATTAATGGATAATTTGAATTGACAATGTTACATGTTGTATTCAGCAAAGATATGGGAATGCAGAAAAGCTTTGTACCTGATTAGGAATTCTGAATTTCATTGAATTTTGATAATTACAATAACTAACCTTTATGCTATGAAAAGCTTTTTTTATATGCCCATATGAAATGTGGAGTTTATATTGGTGTCTTCCATGACCGTCTGTTGGTTTGTCAGTCAACAATTTCTTGTAAAGACTATTCATAACTCTTGACACATTTTGAGGAAACTTGACAAAATTATCACCAAAGGATTAATCCCATTTAGATACAACAAATCAAAAATATTTTATATGAGTTATTGCCTTGCCTTTGAAAATGAAAACATTCTAGAAGGTTCAATTCATCACTTAGGGATAAACCCTGTTGAAAATTGAGTTATTGCACTTGTTTTTGAAAACGCATTTAATTTTGTAGCACACTCTAGAAGGCACAGTTCTTGCCAAAACATGAACAAGTTTGGAAGACGTGATGATGAATATTTCATACTGGTGATTGATACTGTACTGCCAAATATAAATATATTCTTATTTGAAATCAAAGCGTCCAGTGGGCAATATATTAACTTGCCTGACATGCTTTCTTTGTGATTTTTAGCAGCAATATTCAGGAAGTCAAACCAGACCAGTTACATCAATCATTGAGAACAATAGAGCTTGTTGTGTATGTAATAAAGTATCTTGCTTTATTTGTTCTGGATGTAGAAAAGTCTGGTATTGTAGTTACCAATGTCAGGTAGGAAATGTACTCTGTGATGGTATAGGATATAGCAGGGCCATTGTTTTTTATCTGACTCAATTTGCAGCTAAATCATCGAACTCATAACTATATAACTCTATAATGGTGTTTCTATGAAGTGGAAGAGACCAGTAGGGGTCACAGAATTGACAAGGGGGCTCACAGCACAATGATGAAAAATAAAATATAAAACTAGGGCTAGCCCGCCCAATAGGCCTATTGATGGCAAGTTATTTTATTGCTGGAGATGAACCAGGTTTGAAATAAAAACAAAATTAGTAATTATTTTACCAGTGCTTCAAGAACTTTTTGGGTAAAATGTATCAATTGTTGCTGTATCCCATGTCCCATCAATCTTTGTATTATCAATTGATTCATTATTTTTGCTACTATTTTTCAGAATGCAAATTGGAAAGTACATTCTCAGTATTGTAAAAAGTCATGAATGTATAATAATGTTCAGCGGGTTCTGCAGTATGGATTTTAGTTGTATGGTGTTGGGTTACTCTATTCTGGTCTGTCTTGTCTTGCCTGCATAATATACAAAAACTATGTGGATAATCCAGCCCAAAGATAGCTCTGAATTTAAGGAATGTTTGTGTTGTGTAGATAATGCTGTGTTCTACAGTTTATTGCTTATGTTGACAGGGATAATGGAATTTTTAATATGTAATATATAATACATGATCTGTAGCAATAGCTAGTGGCTTGGACTTGCTACAAGGAGATCTTCTGATAGATGTAGATAGAGATACTAAAATTCAAAAAATTGTAAATGTGTGTCATGCTCCTGTTTTTTATTAGGCCTAATATTAGACTTGATTGTGGAAAGGGTAATGTGTACAAAGTAATATAAAATGGCTATGACTTTGATTCTTCTGCTTGTGTAAGGCTAGTAGATGATTACTGTATTAGATATGGATCATAATGTTGTATGATGTCAGATCTCTTATCTGAAATTGCGTTCATACAGAAACATAGTGTCCATGTTGTGTTAGAATTTAAAGATAGATTAGCTATAGTGTTTCTTCATACATTCAAAATACTGTGAAATGTGCTCATTAATTATAATCATCATTATTTCATTGTTGATATCCTTGATTGTAATCCAAGAAATCAAAGTTTGAAGCATAATACAAAGGTTTCCTCAATAGATCAGGAATACATTTCATCATCTATTGTGTTCATTGTTAAATCATATCATGGAAAGTCATGGTTTAATTTTGCTGCTAAATGGTGCCTTGAAAAATAAGAAACAACCACAAGGTTTTTTTTGAAGAAGAATTTAATATATCGACTTGGTGCTACACAATTCAAAATGGCTGCTGATTTTTTTAAGATTTGTGCCTTGAATATTTTTTATGATATCTAAAATCTTATAGCATAATATTGGCATTTTTAGAGTGCTGTGTATTTAGTGCCATGCCATATTGGTATTAAATGACAACATTATTTAAAATAGTGCTCAAAGCAGTATAAAAACAGTCCACATTGCCCGAGTAAGTTGATAGGCCTATTAAAGTAAAAAGACATAATCCTAGTGATATTGGGTACTTGAATAATCAGCTCTTCTAAATACACCTGACACCAAGCATGCTGCAAATCTGTTCACAACTGTGGTCATGACAACTTGAGAATGGATTTTGAACAGCAAAAAGGGATACAAAGGTTCTTGTTACTCCCCATTTCATAAGGAGGGAAGTGCATAAAATGTACAAAAGCCAATTAAAGGTCTTATATGTCCTTGAGCATTGTAACTGAATACTTTCTGTAGTTGACAAAAACAAAGTTAAGAATGTGACTACAGTATGTCTGTGTATGGAATAATATATTAAGGAAAAGAAGTGCCAAGCAAATAATGGGCACAGTATTATTACTCCCCTTCATTTTGTTAAGTATTTTTATATATTTTATACAAAGTACCACAGTATGATATGCCAGTGCTATGACCATTTTGATGGCCATATTATTTATTGCATTTTCATGTTGTTAAATTTCATATATTTTGTTTTTGTTATTTTCTTCTTAGTTTATTGCAAGTTGAGTTTCTGAGTATTTTAAGTGTTAATTGATACAAAAATATAAATCAAAAATCCAATAAAAAAAAAACCAGTTCATATTATTATTTTTTCTTTATTTAACATTTGAAGTAAAAATTAGAAATAAATATTAATATGTCAGAAAAATGTCAAAAAAGAGAAGAAGAGAAACATATGGTGGGACATAGTCATCTATGAAATTCAGCTTATTCAAAATCTATGATATTCAGTCAACTATGGAAAATCTATGATATTCAGTCAACTATGGAAAATCTATGATATTCAGTCAACTATGGAAAATCTATGAAGCTACTATAAAATCTTGAAAATAGCTTGTGGAAGATCAATGAACTGTTATAGCTTCTGAAAAATAAATGAACTGTAGTAGCCTCTGAAAAACCAATGAACTGTAATAGCATCTGAAATCTCTACAAACTTTTATAGCCTCAAGAAATAGTATGAACTGTAGTAGATTCTGAAAAATCTAAGAACTGTGGTAGCTTCTGGAAAAATTACTGAACTGTAGTAGATTCTGGAAAAATTAATGAACTGTAGAAGCTTCTGGAAATTCTATGAACTGCAGTAGCCCCTTGAATTTCTATGAACTGTAGAAACCTCTGGAAATTCTATGTAGCCTAAGGAAATTTTTGAAACTTTTGGTAAAAATGCATGTTGCATTGGTTGCTTCATATACAGACCTTGCCCTATACTGTAGGTGTGTTAAAGCATATAAATAGATGACTGTGTCCATTTGAGGATAAAATGAAGGGGCTGACCATCCAAAATCAAAAGTTTCTAAATGTCCATATTGTACCTGTTTCTCAATTACGAAATTTAATATATCATCCTATTTCACTATTATGTACATTCCAAATTAATGTCATTATTTGATCATAACATCGAATCTCAAAGATTGTTTATTTTTATTACCATATTTTGGTTTATTCTGTTATTAGTGTTATTGTATATAGATTTTCTTTTTTTTTTAAGATTAATTGAATTAATATTTTGTGTGGTCAAGGAATAGTGCTTCTGTAATTATGAAAGATGGTTTTATTTAGGGCATTATGTTGTTTGTTGGAATTTTTTTCTTGTTTTGTAATTATATTTCGTATATTTCTTGAAACTTACTTTCTCATGCTGCATAGTTCTACAAAATACAACTTTTCAATGTAAACATGTAGGCTCAGAATAAGTTATCCAGAGTATGTTAAAAACAAAAAATAATAAGTTAATGTTATTTTGGCAGAGCTATAAACCTATAAAAATTTGATGTGATGCTTTGGCATTATATATAAATTTGTTTTGATTCAAAATGAAACCATTCTCGAGGAAATTAAGCATTTTATAATTCTAAAAGATTGCTGTATTTCTCCAAACAACATTTGAGGCTTGCTGAGTTATAGCCCTTGTTTTGTTAACATTAAATAACTGTAGATGTTGACAATGCCTTGGAGGTTACTATAGTCCTAAATTCTGTCGTACATTTGAAACATTGTTCGTTGGATTTAAATTCTTAAAAGTAATATAATAATGAATATGTGGAAGGCAGCAAGTATATTAAAATAAATTTGGCAGCGTATTTACTTGAAACGTGCAAAATTTGTACACATGTTCATATATTACAGCCTAAAACAGACCAAGTATATTAACTTAGTATCAACTTAGAAACTGGAACAAAAAAAGCTAAAAATTTGCTTGAAAAATACTTCATACATCTCTATTCAGATGAATGAACAGACTTGTTTGAAACCTAATGATATTCTGAATAAAGGTATCAACACAAATTACTAGTAAATTTGTCTGTTTCATATCAGTATTGAAGCTTACACACTTTTACCCGAATTTATAGGTGTGGTGGGCTTAGCTGTAAAATGCTTTAATAAGGAATGCACACTTTGATCAGGTAGGACAATTTCACTATACAAGAGTTTGTACATCATGCGATGCACAAACAATGTCCTATTGCTCTGGAGTATGATAAATGTCTCATTTCTTTTACAATTTATTATTTTGCTAATAGTTCAGTTTGTTTATAAAACAATTGTATTGAAATCCATGAATATGTTACTTTTAAGCACCTAAATGGGAACGGCTTGAAGTTTTATTGTATGTTGAAGGTGGTTTGATTGATGATAGACAAGATATATTTATTTATTACTATGCTTTTAAAATAATGTTGTTGAGTCACTGCAAATACTTACAGTTAAAAAATCTTTCAGTAGTCTACATTTTGAGTTTCCCAGCTGACAAATGATAAAACATTTAGCATCTAAATTGTCTGCAATCGAATAAAAGCAGACAAGAAGAAGTCACTACAGTTTAAGATTGTAAGCCATTCTGCCATGCAGATACCAACAATATTACTACACTACATTAATATTACAGGGATTGTTATGAGGGTTTACTTAATTTTTTTATGTGTATTGTTGACACTGTAGCATCAATTTGCTACAATTCAATTTTCAGACAGAAATCTGTGTTCCTGCAGTACCACAACTAAGAAGTGTTTAATGACATCACTAATCGCAACATATGCTTTATCACATAAGGCCCTTGCAATTAGTGACGTCTTCAAACACTTACTTTTATTGGAATTGCAGGAACCAGTGATTTCTGATTAAAAATATTATGGATTTGAGAAAATTGATGCTATCAGTGTCCACAATGGTCATTAATTTAGAAAACCTCTTAAACAATCCCTTTAATATTATGATAGTGTAATAACATTGTTGGTATCTGCATGGCAGAATGGCCTAGAAAATTTACAATCCCTTTAAGTGGATATATTTATGTTCGTCTTGATATTTATATTATCACTTCTGCAAGTATGTTTTATTGAAATAGCAGGTGTCACATTTGCATTCTGAAATATTAAGATACAGCAGGGAAAGTCAAATTTTAGAACTTAGTTAACTTAAAAGTTATACCTTTATTACAGGTAGATCTTGAAAACAATATTTATGATTCACAGGATCAGAAATTAAAAGGTGTGCTAGCTGTAAAGATATAAGCATTACCTTGTCTTATTAAGACTTACTTGGAATAAGTAAATTTAAGGTGATACAAGCATATGACATATAGGTTTTGACTAACAGGTACCGGTATTAATTGCCAAATTTTATATCCATTTCTATGCTCTGACTATGCTTGATAATACCAACAAACTGTCAAAATATTTTCATATTGTTTATTTATTTGTTGACATTCATTAAAATTGTATAAATCTCTATTTCAGTTTTCAACTTCTTGAATCTGAACAATCTGCTTCTTACTCTAGATTTTGTATATCCTTGCCTGTCCTTTGCAGTAGAATAGCTCTTCCCTACTGAACAATGCTTATAAGAAATTATGAACATGCCATAGCTAGGAGATGAGAGGATATGGTCATTTCTGTGACAGTCTTCAGAATACAAGCTAGATTCCCTACTATTCAACATAAACTCAGTATGGAATTTGAGATTGTCATTGGAATTTTTGATTAAATCATATATTCACCACTGAACTCACTGTTTAGATGATGTTGATCGATAACTTATCAGTATATATGTCCAACATCGAACTGATCAGCTTTTAATTTATGTCGGTAAATAAACATGGCCATAATCAAACTCACTTAAATCAGATTATAAATCCACCACAGAATTGCTCAGCTCATATATCAATCCATGAATTCACTGATTATATCAACCATTGAACCTACTGATCAGAATGCAAGTTCACCATAGAACTTACTAATCAGAATATATATCAATCCTTGAACTTACTGATCAGATTATATTAATCCATGAATTCACTGATTATATATCAACCATTGAACCTACTGATCAGAATGCAAGTTCACCATAGAACTTACTAATCAGAATATATATCAATCCTTGAACTTACTGATCAGAATGCAAGTTCACCATAGAACTTACTAATCAGAATATATATCAATCCTTGAACTTACTGATCAGATTATATTAATCCATGAATTCACTGATTATATATCAACCATTGAACCTACTGATCAGAATGCAAGTTCACCATAGAACTTACTAATCAGAATATATATCAATCCTTGAACTTACTGATCAGATTATATTAATCCATGAATTCACTGATTATATATCAACCATTGAACCTACTGATCAGAATGCAAGTTCACCATAGAACTTACTAATCAGAATATATATCAATCCTTGAACTTACTGATCAGATTATATTAATCCATGAATTCAATGATTATATACCAACCATTGAACCTACTGATCAGATTAAAAATCCTCCATAGAACTTACTAATCAGATTATATATCAATCCATGAACTTACTGATCAGATTATACATTATTCCATTAACTCACTGATCAGATTGTATATCAATCCATGAACTCACTGATCAGATTATATATCAATCCATGAATTCACTGATTATATATCAACCATTGAACCAACTGATCAGATTGAAAATCCACCATAGACCTTACTAATCAGAATATATATCAATCCATAGACCCAATTATCAGATTGTATATCAATTCATGAACCCGATAATCAGATTACATATCAATCCATGAATTCACTGATTATATATCAATCATTGAACCTACTGATCAGATTATAAATCCACCATAGAACTTACTAATCAGAATATATATCAATCCATTAACCCAATGATATATCAACCATTGAACTTACTGATCAAATTATCCATCCACCATTGAACACACTGATCTGACTATACATCCACCATTGAACTCACTGATCTGACTAACATCCACCAGTAAACTAAACGCTCATCCAAAGGTAGGTTTTCATTTCCAAACTTTTGAAGATTAATTGTAAGGTATTTTAATAAAGTAACTATAAACTGAGTCTGGAAATTGTTGTTTAAGCACAGCTTCTGTATATCTCATTAGCTTATAGAATACATAAACATACACACACTAGCAATTTAAACTTTCAATCAGATATTAACACAAATGATGACACAGTTAACATGATCAAAATTAGAAAAAATCAGAAGCTCTTTGTCTTGAAGTTCCTTGCGATCCAGAAGGTTTAGGAGAACTTGAGGAGGAAACTGAAGATTTTGGAGACCGCAAATTTGAATTTTTAGGCCGCTTGGGTAACTGAAGTAAATTGTCTGTTAATGAACGAATGTCACTTCCAGTGTGTTTTCCAATGGGTGTGCGAGGTGTTCGTGGACTAGATTGTATAGAAGATCGGACTGAGTTGGGTGAAGATAATGGTGTTAGTCTAACAGGTGTTTTATCACCAGGGAGTCTATGAGATGGTGAGGGTGTGTAACTGTCTTTTAAAGCTTTATCTGTATGAGTTCTGATTCCCAGTTTTTTACTAGCAAGACGTTGAGCAGCTGGTGATAAAGAATTCAAGCGATCTGTAGAAGAAAGACTGAATTTTGGAGATGGACTGAAATGAAAAAATAAATCATATTTATATTCAAAGATAGCTTGCCAAGAAAAGTAAACAAACTGCTTAGTTAATTTGAAACAAAAACAGCATGCATCATGGTGACTAATCAGTCCAGATGATTGCAATGAATCTGAAAATGTTCCTCCCAAAAGAAATACTGATTATCACCTAAATTGTCAATATTTCAAATCAAGGGCAATAACTCAAAGCTGCTCAATGATCAAACTAAATTTCCTCAAAACTCCAGATATTTTGAACTAAGTCCTTAACCATTGCAATGATATACCAAGTTTCGACATTGTTTCATGTTTGCCAATACTTAGTGTGTTTGTATTTCCCGCTGTATGACGTCATCACTATGGACACGTGATTATGACCACGCTCATTCTAGAGGCTTGCCAAATGGCCTACTGTCTGTAAATGTATCACTGATATTAAACCATTTAAACTTTTGCTTACATTCTATATTATGAATAAACAACATAATAAAGCAGTCATGGGCAATAACTACAGAACCGTTTATCAAGAAAATCATTAAATTTGATATATTTCAAGATCTTATAAATCTTCAGTAATTTCATTGATCACACCAAGCCTTTATTGTGTTCACAAACAGATTTTGACAATCGTTAACTAAACCAAGGGAAATACCTCTAAAACTGTTCATGAAAAATTATCTAATTTGGAATCATCAAAAACTTGTCAAAGCTCTGATCAATCTAAATTGTCACAACAAAATTAAACAAGTGGTTGACTTGCAAGATACGCCCATTCCCTGATAAATTTTCTGTGTATCAAGGGCGGTTACCAGTTTGTGTCAAATTGTACCAAAAATCTAACTTATCAAAAATAGTGTTGATCTAAACCAACACAAAATTTCATAAGAGTCTGACATCAACTGTCACCTCTATCGCATTCACAAGCCACATTTAACATAAAAAGTATTATGAAAATCAGATGAAATCTTTATAATATCTATAGTATTAACGAGCAATTTTGACGCATTGTACTAAGTCAAATAACTAACTATAACATAAGTAACACCGAATCTCATTTATCTATCTCATAGTATCTATTGAATTTACAAACAAATTTTGACATGTTTTTACTAAGTCCAGGGCAATAACTCAAAAAATGTTTATCGAAAAATCGTCAAATTCAAACTTGACCAAGATCTTATTGCTAAGATGATCACACCAAATTTCATTAAAATCAGATGAAAATTGTAGTCTCTCTTGTGTTCACAAACTGATTTTGATGCATTTTTACTAAGTAAAGGGCAATAACTCAAAAATTGTTCATCAAAAAATTGTCAAATTTGAACTTGACCAAGATCTCAATAAAGTTTCATTAAAATCAGATAAGAATCAGTTGAAGTTCAATGATGTCGCTTTCCTTTTGTAGGAATCCAATATGGCTTCATAAAAAAAATGAAGGAAAGAAGGGGGCCTTATGTTCTTGAAACATGTTGGACTTTAGGACTACTTAGTTTTTTCTATAGCAGATTATTTTTTTGAATGTTTACCCATTTGTTGTGGTATAGAGTATCCACATTATATGGATTAACTAAAAATGAACCACTGCATCTTCCTTAGCTTAGGCTATTGAAAGATTCTTCATTTTATGAAGCCATATTGGATTCCTACCATGAGAACAATGTTGGAATGTTACTTAGCAACTACCAAAGAAAGTGACATCATTGAACTTCAACTGACATTTCATGTGTGTCTGTCCCTTCCTTTGTGCTCTTTTTTCTATAGCAGATTATTATTTTGAATGATTACACATTATAATGCGAGTGTACAACAAAATCAGATAAAAACTGTAGCCTCGCAAAGCAATGTATTTTCTATTAAAATTAAAATGTTTAGATGTGAATCATACCTGGCTAAATTTCTACTGACTTGTTGTAATGCAGCCTGCTTTTTAGCTCTGTGGTTTTTACTGGCTTTTTCAGCCAATTCCATAGCTATCTGATCTCTTTGTGGAATATTTGGGATCTACAATAAACAGATAAAATAAGATTTTCTAATTCAAAAAAGCAACATTAAACTATATAGCTCATAAGAGTTTATTCCGATCCAATATTCTGAAGAGACCACCTTCATTAAGAGACCATTTTGGATTATTTCTGTGGTCGCGAGTAAGGCCATGTCTGTTGTTCTAGAAACATACCACAAACAAACAACTTGACTACTGTTAACTTGTTAAGTTGTCATAACAATTACCTACATATTTATATGGACACAGTGCAGCTATGATTGAATTGATGAAAATCTCACCTTGAATACCGGACCAGAGGTATTACCAGGTGTAACCCCAGTGTCAAGGGTTAGGGGTGTTCCTTCAATCTCACCCCAAGTCATCAATGGTGATTCTTCTACACCTGGTGCTGGAGAAGGTGTGGCTACAAAACCATAACCATTAATTTTTGGTGTTTGGTTTGCTGTAAGCTCCTTTCCATCATGTCCAATTTTCCCTTGATTGGACAAAGCTTTATTGACAGCTGCCTGTTGCATTATCTGCTTGTTCTTTTTCATATCATGAGGGTTGGCATAAAACCTGGTGTTTTCATGAACAATTTCTTGTGCCTTGAACTTCTTTTCAGCTATAATTTCTTTCTCACTTAGTTCAACACCTGAGAATAATAATTCAAAAATAGGGTCCATCATGTATCTATCAAGAAGACATAATAATAGAGAAAAGACATGGATATATTAGTATTGAAATCAAAACCCAAGAATCTCACATGTGGATATTACCAACTAATAACAGAAAACTTAAATAGTCAAGCCAAAATATTTTTGCACATCCTGTTCCCATTCAAAAATTTACAACTGGCTTCATAATCTCACAGCTATTTTCTTTATCGTATAGCACAGTCTTTAGACCCTAAATGGAGTGGCTACAACAAAAAGGAATGAACGTTTGGTCTAATTTAGACAGATTCTATCCTTACCCTCAGGAACATACATAACAGCATTCTTAGCTTGATACTTCCATGTATCTACGGAACTCTTATCTATGGCCAATACTGCTTGCTCTTCGATTGATGGTAAAGCTAGTTTATCTGTATGTTCCTATTATTTTCACCAAGACAAAAAATGAGATTTGACAACAATTATTGTTCTCTAATACAGGAGGTCATAAGAGACGGATAATATCTTTAAGCAACTTACAGGTAATTTTCACAATGTCAAGCTATTACAAACTACCATACAAGAAAAGTGTCTATCTCAGTCCAGCTCTAAAAGACAAAGTCCAGGACCCAACCCGCCTAGAGGTCAAGGGGTCAGATCCAAGCATATGTCGCAATAGAACCTTAGCTTTTATTTCTTCCTGTCAGTGATGTAGTCAGAGTGGCAGAAATAGAAATGGTAAACAACTTCAAATGTTGGAAAGTGGAGAAGGAAATGCAAAGAAATACCATCACTGCAGAACCAATGACACTGTTCATTGAGATGAGTCTCAATTCACCCCAATACTTATTTTGCCTGTGTCAGCAAGCAGAGCTATTAATAAGCTTAATAATTGCTTTATGACCTAGGGCAGTGCTTTCATTTAGATTGTCCGGTCATTGTCAGACATCTACTTAATGTCAATACTGGTATTGTTTCCCCATTGGCGGATGAAAATTTATCGAAAATATTACTATTGCCATTTCGTGTTATGTGCCTTTGACCTTATATCTCTTGGCCAGACCTACCTTCATTTGTTCATCTTCTTTATTAAATAACCAAGCATGTTTCATCCGATGTTTTTTGTCAGATTCTTCCAATATTTCATTAAATGATGCATTATCTTCACTGGTATTTTTACTCAGAAATTTATCTAGACCCATCTTACTTTTCTTTTGTACATCTTAAAAAAATAGCAAACAAAATTGGATAATTACAAAAGGCTCTTTGCTTGAAACTCACTTATCATGTTCATTATATATTGCTATAATGAATCATATCATTAGTAAAGTTTTAAACCACAAAGCTATAAAGGGCATTAAATTTGAAATTAAATGATAGATAATAATAATGCTATATATATATTTGTCATTATTGTGTACTTATTAATGCATGAATAAATCTAGTTTAGTAATGGCAATGTCATGTTAGTAATTTGATCTGATAATTAATTTTATTATCTCAAGCATATTAATCACCCAACTGCACTTTCAAAACTCATCACATCGTATCCCAAATACTGGTTTTTACATTGTCTTATCAACTTGTATTTATCAGACAGCTGTTAGGGTCACGTAAACAAAACACAATAATAGATTTGCCACCACCTATTTAAGAGATAAGAGCACATTCTTTCCAAATAAATATTCCAAAGTACAGTGGTTTTTCTGTCAGCTTCAATTCAAAATGTTACTCAATTCTCTAGTCCATATTAATCAAAACATTTTATAACACGCTTTGTTTGTTTACATTTGTTTAAGTCAACAAAGCATCTATAAAGAGTAATTTGATTTGGTTGGAATTTGACAAGAAAAATTTCAGGGACAATTTTGATAGGACAATATTTAGCCAAGAATACATATTTTCCCTCACATGTATTACCACCACCACAAGGACTTAAAAATAAAAAGTAATAAAGGTATATTAAAAAACTGTAAACAAAAAAAGGTTCAATTACATTGAATTCTTTGTTTTTTTATTGTTATATCAGACATTGCATTTGGATTATTTGATTTGTTCACTAACACAGGATTTGGATGCTTTGATTTTATCACTTACATTGGAATTTTTCATTTAATCAGTGACATTTGATTCCTTTATTTGATCACTTACATATGATTTGATTTAATCTTTGACAATATTTGTATACTTTTTTTTGGTCAGTGACCTTGGATTCTTTGATTTGGTTAGTCACATTAGATCTGGATCATTTGATTTGATCAATGACAGTGGAAAATTTGATTTGGTCATTTACATTGGATTTTTTGTGATGCCTACCATAAAGTTCCTGATATTCTTCAGTCTTGCCAGCAGATTCATCATTACCAATATTTGTAGTAGATACTGGAGCCTTATCATTTGAGGGTTTAGATGAAGGTGAGTGAGGTCTGTGACTAGGGTCTGGTGTTTCAAAAGTGGCTGGTGTATAATCTATAAGAATAAAAGATGATAAAAACATAACTTGACTAAAAGAAATATACTGAAGTTTTACACCCGGAATTTCTGACGTCTCTTATAGGGCTCAGGAAGATACACAGAATCATGAAATTAAAACACTTTCAAAAATTAAATTTGAAGAACTGAAACCTTTAAGACTCAACGACATTGAGGATTACAAATCACAAACACAAGAAATCAAAGCCTATCAGCTGAAGAATATACAATCAAGCTTGGCTCTATTTACATATTAATACAAAGAAAGCTTGCCAGGAAAAGTAAAAGCTTGAACTTTTGTAAAATTTTGTGACAGCATTTTCACAGTAAGAAGTACTGGTACTATTATCTCAAAGAAGCATTGGCCCTACAATGGGAAAAGAAACTTACATTGAGTTGAAGAGCCTGTTCCAGGTTGACCTGGCCCATATTTCATCTGGATTTTACGCAAGGTAACCAAATCATTCTTCTCTAATGCCTCTAAATATTCAGCTTGGGCTTCTAACTTTGATAAATCAGGGAAGAAATCACGTTGAATGATATCTGTGATTTTCTTACATGAAAAAAATAAAAGATATTAGGCAACACAAATTTTGTTTAGTTTCCTCATGCTCACTCTTAAAAAGTTAACTACCCATTTTAAGTTATAATTATTTACTCAAATATAGTCTAAGGCCATCTCTTCCTGCACCATTTTAAAGCTGAAATTTTGAAGTAAATGAGCTGGGACTATTATTACTTGTTTTTATTGGGCCAACATTAAAATAAAATAACTTAACACAATGAAATTTCTGATAGAGGAAGAATATGATAAAAAATATTACTTCAGTGTAAGTGTCTTCATCTAAAACTGTCTTTGTTTTTTTTTGTTCTACTTTCGTTTTCCTTTCTTCAGTTACAACAATACTTTTTTCGGGAATGGTTTGAAGGGCCATTTCAGAATGCGCCGTGGGACTTGAAGTCAAAACCACTAGGAATCACCATTAAACAAGAACACCAGTGTAAATTTATAAGGAAAACAGATAGACATAATAGGAAAATAGGATTTACGTTTCAGTCTATGGACTAACCGGAAGTTACAGTGTTTACATTGACCAATAATCTAAAAAAAATAAATGTTGAATATTGTTAAGAGAATTTAGATCTAGGCTTATTGATTAGCCCAAAGTTCATGAATTTAAAACAAAACTGTTTCTTTCTATGATATCATTAAGTTTGACAATTCACATTAAACTCATTTTAGATTGTCGTAATAATAAGATATATAGAGTTGCTTCCCTTCCATCGTTATTGCATAGAGATAATAATAAAGAAATAATAACTATAAGCACTATTATTACCTCCATGCGTTATTGCACCTGTTGCGTTCATTCAGTTGTCCATTCGGCATCTCTCACAATATCACTGTGAACCGTTTGACAGGTGCAGGTGTCTTGTATGCTTCACAGGTGAAATAAAATCATACATGTCCAATGAATAGTATCATTTTCAAATATCGCTCAATAGAAAAGAAAAGGTGGGAGGCGTGTTGAAAGAAGACTAACCTAGAAATTAACAGAAAAGAAAAGGTGGTCGAAAAAACACTCATACAAGCAGTTTAGTGAGCCGATGTCCACTTCGGCTAAATCGAATTAATTTAGGCAGTAGGACCATTTTATTTTTCATTATCACACCGTTTAAAGAATTATCATTGATTTTTCCACTTTGCTACCTGTTCTCAGAATAGTACCTCGGCTGACATTACTGTACTAATTAATACGAAAAGACCCTGTTGCGTGCCAAGTATATTTAAATACAAAAAGCAATTAATATTTTTAATTGGCTGTAGCTTTGAAATTTTTAATTTTCAGACAATAGGGTGCGGACAAGTTAGGAACAGAACAAATTAATCCGCGTGATGTAAAGGATAGGTTCACAATCCTCTATTAATTGTCTTCTGTAAATATTATTCTTCAAAACAAAACACATCAAACAAAAATATATACATACTTTCTTTTGGTTTAAAATGGAAATTTACATCCTGATGTAAAGGCCCGGTTGTTTCTATGTAAACTTTATGATAATTTTATCACAGAAATTGTTTCTTTTTTAAAACAGAACTCTGATCTGCAGGTTTTTATACGCCCACATGAATATGGTCCGTCCGTCAACATTTCTTGTGAGCACTATAGAGACTAAAGTTTTCATCTGATTTTGATAAAACTTGGTGTGATGCTTTAGATTGATAGGATCTCGGTCAAGTTCGAATTTGACATATTTTCGTTGAACGGTTTTTGTTAATAATAGTTCGTGAGCAGGATTGAAGATACAGTTTTCAAGTTCTAACTTTGACGCATTTTCAATGAATGGTTTTTGAGTTACTGCCGTTGACTTTGTAAAAACGCGTCAAAATGTGTTCGGGAGCACTAGCCTATAGAAGCTACTGTTTTCAACCAATTTTGATCAAACTTGGTATGATCATTGGAATTGATAAGATCTCGGACAAGTTCTAACTTGAGGCATTTTCGATCGACGGTTTTGGAGTTATTGCCTTTAACTTTGTAAAACGCTTCCAAATTTGTTTGTGAGCACAATAGAAGCTACAGTTTTCAATCAATTTTGAGGAAACTTGGTGTGATCATTGGAATTCATAAGATCTCGGACAAGTTCTAACTTGAGGCATTTTCGATCGACGGTTTTGGAGTTATTGCCTTTAACTTTGTAAAACGCTTCCAAATTTGTTTGTGAGCACAATAGAAGCTACAGTTTTCAATCAATTTTGAGGAAACTTGGTGTGATCATTGGAATTCATAAGATCTCGGACAAGTTCTATAACTTGACGCATTTTCGATGAACGGTTTTTGAGTTATTGCCCTTGACCTTGTAAAAATGCGGTAAAAGTTGTTTTTGCCCTTGATTAGAGCTGTGTGATTTAATTGTTTGTTGTATTTGGGTTATAAATATTGATTTTTAAAAATTTTGTGGAATTACTCAGCATGAATAACTGGCATATGTAATTGAATTCAAACTTCAATATGAGAAAATTCGTACTTTAGTCACTAAAGACTGATTTATCATTTCCGCCCGCAGTGGGCGTATTTTACCTTGCCTCGTAAACTATCTTTGATATAGCAATGCTATTGTTCTATGCGTTATGGTGTGGGCGTGTTTGTCGGCTATGATAGTCCGTCCTGTACAGGACGTAAAACTCCATTCATTTCATTTCACTTCACGGACATCCGTTCCCATTTTAAATAAGCTGCTTTGCTTGAGTACCGGTATAGGGCGAAATATTTCAATTTGCTTAAGGATGCGACAGATTTCATTTTCCATTTTCAGCTACGGTTTTTGACAGACCGTTTTGTCACTAAATGGTCGTAATAAAATGATGCTTATCAATGTTCGCGTTATAGTTATAGAACATTGTGATAAATGTACACATTTAAGTACTGGACGTAAGTGGGTTTGGGCCTCTCCACAGGGAAATATGCTTTCTTCCCCTCCTGTATGTCAATTTAATACATATTAATAAAAAATTTAAAGATTTTCAGTTTGTAGTAGGCCTATATAATATTGTCCCTGGTAGAGCAGCATAAGTTGTGCGCCATATTTGGTAGTTGCCCCTGTCCACCCGTCGACAACTGGCTTGTGAACAATATAGACTACAGTTTTCATCCGATTTTAATAACATTTTTATTGATGAGGTCTTGGTCATATTCGAATTTGACGATTTTTCGAAGAACAGTTTTTGAATTATTGTCCTTGACGTGGCAAAATTTGTTTGTGAATACAATAGAGACTACAGTTTTCATCCATTTTTAATGAAATTTGAGAGAGACATTTTATCCGATTTTAATTTTAACTTTAATGATCTCAAATGTAGTTTTTGAACACAAAAGAGGCGATAGTTTATATCAGAATTTTATCTACTTTTGTGTGTTGGTTTAAATCAATAATATCTTGGACAAGTTAGGTTTTTCGTACGATTTGACACAGATTGACAACCGCCCTTGAAATACTGAATATTTTCTAGGGAAGTGGGAGTATCAAACCTCTTAAATACTTATTTTCGTACATTTTGTTTTTAAATTGTGTATATTTTCCCGGGGTGGGGGCCTGTCACCATATATTATGGCAGTTGAGCCACTGATAATTCCCCTTTTTGGTTGGGTTAAGTCCCAAGCAAGGCAAGGTTGATGCCTTTCAATACTTTTATTGTGATAATTTGTTCGTCACAATATTTGTCACGTATATTTACATTACGCATTACTTTGTGCAAATCTGCTGTTATTGCGAGATTTGCTCTATATATTTCATCGGCGTTTTTTATTAATGTATTATTATGATATTTATATCAATTCAATTATTATTTGAATTCGAATCACGTCATATTTGACTATTTATATTATCAATTATAGAGCGTTAAAACAGAACCTGAAACATGTTTCAAGTTCTGTTTTAATATTTCATATAGAATTATAATATAATGTTCTTTGATTCAGGGCATTCTCAAATTAGTTGGAAACTTTCATTCAACGATCTGTAAACAGCGATCTGTTTCTGGCTGACTTTCTTAAAAGGTCGATAGCAATAAAGTCAAAGCATTGTGTTCATGTTAGAATAATTTGAAAACTGTCATGGCTGAAATTGGGAATAAACATTGTTGCATAGTGACTTTCAATAGATTAAAAATAGATTGTTCTATTTATAAATCAAGCAATGTGAGTCAGTGAGCTATTTCTATAAATCGTTACAAGATCATTAAAATCAATTTTTTGATGTAAAAGGTATACTAGGCCTACCTCGTTGGATGATCAGAAAAATGAAATTTTTAAGCTTGAAATCTAGAATGAGTCTTTGTTCATCAGTAGACTTACCCGGTCTCATAATTATACAACAGAATCCATAAAACTAAGTAAAAATCCATTGGAATAATAACTTTTAAATATGCTTAGAAGCGTGTTTCAAAACATATTTAGTTTAATGGATACAATAATAAAATATTTTCACTATTAAAATAGTGCTCAATACATCAATTGTAGAGCGGGATTAATATGATTAAATGAATATATTACATAGATATTCTTTTCATGGCACCTGGTAAGTCGATCTGATGAAAATATACACTTTTCTTTCATAACTCATAGCACTGTATAGGCCTATTATAGAGTTGAGCGATATTACGATATTATCCAAAAAACTGATGAGAAAAAAATCGGACAATACGATATAGCATTTTTCCTATACAATCTTGACGATATTTCGTGATATGTACCAGACGTTGAAAAGACGATATCATTACATTTTAGCACCGAGCTAGTTTAAACTTGACATACCTCATTAATTTATTTCTAAATTCAGCACTGATTTTATGCTAATCAGTTTTCGAAACACTTTCGGAGTATATTTTTATAAAATGTGCGAAAATGACCTTTTTGTAACATGGCTTCTTAAAGGTTTGCCAAAAGACCATTACTTTCTATGACGCTGCTTGACTTTTAAGTTACAGTTGAATCGCAGCTTACTTGTTAAAATAATCTTATAGCCATTTGGTGAACCTCACTAGGGCCATTTTGTGGCATTTCGTGGAGGTTGGTCAGAAGTCAGAAATCTATTTCTACAATGTATTAGTTTTTCGAGAACTGTGCATGATGTGTTCTTTACATGTTACAGGACCTATATCTCATACTATTCCACTTGGCTAAACGCTTGTTTGATGAGGGAATGATAACACAATGTGCATTATTTTCATTACACCGGAAATGAATTACTTCGATATTTTTGATTTTGATAGACGAAAAAAGAAATTTGTCTGATTGATAATGGCCCAATCTCATCAACCTTATGACCAAATTGATTAGCTTACTTTGCCATGTCAACATTAAAATTTGACAATGTGTCTCAGACCTTTTGCCTTATGTGCCAGTTTTTA